CTTCAATATCTGGCACCCTAATGGCAGTTAATAAGCATCTGAGATACTAGTTCCTAGAGATCTGGTGCCATATTATGGCCTCTACAGGCAATGAATGTATATGATACACAGATGTAAAAGTAGGTAAAACACTCATAGACAAAATAAAAATAAAAATTTTCTAAGTATATGCTCTAACATTCATTTTTAAAAAGGAAGAAAGAAACTCACAGATGAAGGAAGATCTGCAAGGGTACAGAGTGTCTGTATACAAGTTATCTGTATATAAAGGTGCAAGTTATCTGATGAGTCCAGCTTTTAGGCTGGCCTTGAAGGCTGTCTGCACTTTAAACACAAAAAGACATGAGCGCTTGAATAGGTCACAGTATAAGCACAGATTTAGAGTTGCAACATTTGGGTATCATTCTGGAAGAAACAGCAGCATCAGCATCAGCCTATAGTAGCAAAGGTTCTTACCTAAAGCAAGCAACCAAAAAAGTAGGTTTTTTGGAGTTTCTACACAGCTGGCCTTGGGCTCAGAGTTGATGTTTGAGACAGAAGGGTCCCTAATGCTCCATGAATGACATCTTTTAATTAGGTTAATCCAGCAACATTGCAGAGGTAAGCCAGAGGCGTGGAGTCTGCTATCATTAAGCATATTGAATTGATTCATGTCTGCAGTGCCTTGAATCTGACTTCTGGTGGTTCATAATCCTGTTGGAGTCTGAGAGGGCCCCCATTCAATTTTGAAAGGAACTAGCCTCCAAGATGGGGAGAATTTGAATTTTAGAAATAATTGCACAAAGTGCTACTTTGTTTCTCCACCAGTCCCTTCCCTATTACATAATCCTGAATGCTTGCTGTGTTCATAGACTGCTTAGAATTTCCTTGTTCCCTGTACCCACCATCCTTTTAACCTCCATCTAGACTTCAACATTTTTACCTTTTATTCTAGCACTGAGAGTGTATTCAGTGGGTACTCTCCAATTGTTAATTGGTACATCCACTGTTGAAGCATGTAGTGTTGTAATCATACCCCTGTATCTTTTCCTCTTGTCCATACCTGAAAATGAAAATATCTGTTCAAAGGCTTGATCTTAGCAATTAGTGAAGTGATATGTAGCTGGTTGTATGAGGACAGGCTCAAACTCTTAATCATCTCTGTTCACATCTAAATGGGAGTCTTCTTGAGCAATGGTACCTGTAATTAGTGCACAGTTGGTAGGAAATTCTTCAGAAGACATAGTTATCAAAGTTGGGTCCCTGGACAACAACATCAGCAGAATTTTGGAGACTGGGAGAAAAGCAAAAGGTTAGACCCCCTAATACAGAGTAGTGGATCAGAAACTGGAGCTGAGGCCTAGCAAGCTTTAGCAAAGCCTGCCAGGCACAGGCCAGAGTCTGAGAAGCACAGTCTGGAAGAAACGGCCTTGTGGAGTTGGGCCGTCAAAGACAGGAGGTAGAAAAACAGAGCTTGGGGATATGAGGGGAGGTATGGAAGCTTAGGTGAAAGGTCAGTACTTCCATTTTTGAGATGATGCTGAATTCCAAGGGGTGGCCTTTGGAAGGAAAATCCAAGAAAGCTTCTCCTGCCTTTTGCTTTGACAAGTTCCAAAGCCAAGTCCAAAGAGTTCTATGTATGGAATCATCTTGCTCAAGGGTATTTACCACAAATTTTATTGTTTAGTAGATGTAGAAAGAGATCCATTTTCCACAGAGTATCTTATCTCCTCTCTTCTGGAGACAACTACATGCTAATCATATGCTTTCAAGAAGTTCCTATTTCAGCCGTGTCCTATATAGCACATGTTCTATCAGAAAGAACTTTTTAGGGAGGTCTTTGGAGAGGTCCTCAATCCTAGATTCCTGGTCAACATTCTAACTGTTCCCAAGGCTTCAATATCACACCCAATCTGTATAGACGGTGGGAATCTAGGAATGAAAAGTCCATCAGATGCAAGAATTACATCCTTTACTTACCCAGTTACTCATTTACTAGGAATGAATTAGGGTTTGCCAGATTGCTGCTATCATAGTTAGAACTGGTATCCTTTCTTTCTATTCTTACCCCCTCCACCCCCAATTGGCATTGCATGTTCACCTAAAGCCTTCTCTGATGTGGGCATGCCTCATCAGAATGGCAATCTAAATTTAAGAATGTGACTCAGAGTCATTTTCTTTTGTAGTTTTAAATAGAAGCCCGTTTCCCTGCTGCCATCTGTGGATATAGACAAGGAAACTCTGGTGCCTTAGACAAGACTGAAGAGGTGATTCCATTTTGGTTTCCTCTGGCAATGAGTAATAATCACTAAGAGAAAGTCTTTTGGGGAGAAAAACAAATCCTGATAGGTCAACCTTTTGGTTGTTGAGTTATGGAGTCTTCTTTTTAAAGATCAATGAACTCTGTGGGTTGTTTCCATTTGGTGAATGACATAATGGGATTTTGGCATCTCCACTCTGTGGTCTCTGGTTGTGTGAGAGCCTGAACTGTAGACACTGCGAGGCTTTATCTCAGAAGGGATCCTAATAAATAGGTCTGCTGGCTCTTCAAACACCATGCAGGGTGTTGTTCCTGGCACTCCCATGGCAGGGGGAGTTGCTGAAAGGGATATAAAATACATCCCCCGAGTTCTCTGATTCCACCTGAGCTCTGAGAGGTTCAGTTCAGTTTTTTTTGTTTGTTTGGTTTTTGTTTGTTTGTTTGTTTGTTTGTTTGTCTCAGAATTTTCTATCTCTTGCCCCTTATCCCACCCTTGTCCATAGCTCAGGATGTGTTTCTGTTACCTTGCACCTCAGCCAGAGAAACAGCCACTCTAAACATCAGAATAGCATCTATTTTATTGTTTTAGCTCAGAGAGAACTCAGTGAATGGTTGCAAGGTGATGATTAAGTTAGTTCTATGTTTTTGAATGACCTATGACAAGGTCACTATCTCTATTGTTGACTGTTGGGAAGGCAATATTGAGCTTATTGCTTGGCCTTAATGATGTAATTGTGGATTTTCCTTGTTGAACTTGAACTTAAGGCTTTCTGTTGGTTCCATTGACTATGTGTATAACAAAATAGGTGACTATATACTTTTAATACAGAGGCCACGTTCCTGCTCGCACAGTGGAGCACATGAGTGCAATGCTTGTCTACAAGTCTCTGACATCCTCACTTACTTTTTCTCTTACACACACACACACACACACACACACACACACACACACACCACTTAATTTTCAACAGTGTACCTTGTCAGTGGCTCTCTTACTACAGAGACACATACTGTCAATTTAAGGTCCTTGGGATCTGTAGTAGATCTTTCCTGTCAACCTTCTTGCTTATTTTCAGAACACGCTGTATGTACTCTGTTTCTTGATAATGCCATACCATAGTTTAGGAATTGCAGGCATGTTCCTTATTAACTATAGGCCCTAGTTTTCATTAAGTGCATGCTTGGGGGAGAGATGATGACAAAGACCAGTGGTAGTCTGTTTTGTGTAAGCTTTTGTTCCTGCCTCTTTCAGCGCTGGACTAACCAGATTCCATTCTGTTTCCCTGTCACTTTTCCTGCCTTAGTGAGAACTCAGCAGTTGTCATTTACTTTGTAAAACAACCATTTTCTGTTGCTTTTGTTCCGTCTGCTTACTGTGTAAATGCAAGAATAGGCTATTCTGCCTTTGTGTGTGGAGGGTTACCACATATCAGTGGTTTGGAACATGACAAGGGGCATGTTTGATTTGTAATCCCAAATGAAGAATGGGGAATGCCAGTGCATGTCACATGACTGGGAACTCCCATACACTGACTTACTGTGCCTCTGAGTGGGCCCTGCATTCCCAGGCTGCACCAATTCCCGCCTGTTAAACAGCCAAGCATTACCCTGATTGAAGTACAACTATACTAACTGGTATCTTACACAATGATTTCTAAAGCGACAATGCTACTCAGATATCTTTCCTGATGCACTTCTCCAGTTTCCTTTCTGTTAGGGGGAGAGGTCCATGTTGCAATCCAGGGCACTCTCTATTTTCCTGCCCTTTCCCCCCACCTCACCATCTTATTATTCCTGGTCTGAGTGCTTCCATTTGCTTACAGACAGCATTATACTGACTTTCAGTTATAGTTTTGAGATATCTGTGTGACTTTGTTGCTTTCCACCTGGCCCAGACTTCAGGACTGTTCACACAGTAGTGTCCTCATCAGTTTGCTGGGGAAATCTCATGCAAGACATGTACCAGTTTGTATAGTAGTACCTTTTGGAACTGCTGACTCTTGAGCAAAGTAGAGTGTGCTGGGGGTGCGCATTGGCTGCTTGGCACACACAGGACAAAGCCCATTAACCTGCATGCCAACTGTAACAACAAACAAAATTAACCCTTAGAGTACTGCTTCCATACATTAATGTAATGGTCTTGAACTTTATTGTTGAACATTGTTTTCTTCCCCAGTGCAGAGTACCATTCAGGAAGTCTATGCTTATTCTAGCCAGAACAGTAACCAGGATCCTCCTCTCCAAAGCTTTCTTGAGATGCTCCTGGGTCCTTTACAAATCTGCTAATTGTTTTTATTAAATCCAGACATAGCTGCTGGAAAATGGGCTCCACTTCTAATGGATTGGAGGGCATAGGGTCTAATGTTTTAGTTATGAGTCTTTTTAATTGAAGAAATCAGTTCTTTAAGGGTTAATGTGAAATCAAGGGATTTGGTAGTTCTTGCTGCTTGTCCTTCCTCCAAGGAGTATGTATGCATGGTCCTCTTTCAAGCCTTAGATCAACCGTTGAATGATGATTAAAAAAATAATACCTAAAATTACCACTCCACCAGCAAATAAAAGAACAAAACACTGAATGGTTGAATGGAAAGTCCTTTGGCAATGCTTGCTTGATGGTTACAAGGGGTAGAAAGACCAAATATATTTTGTCCTCTACTCCATACACCATTTCTCAGCATTGTGGAAGCTGTGATTTTTTTTTTTTTTTTTTTTTTTTTTGTCTCTTATTTACCTCTTGCTTTTTCTTCTTCCCATCTAATAGCCCAATAGAATCCTGCCAGAATTTCTACAAAGATTTCACATTACAGATCGACATGGCTTTCAACGTGTTCTTCCTTCTCTACTTTGGCTTGCGGGTAAGTTTAGCAGAATTTCCCAGTAGTACCACAGTGGGGTATAAGAGTCTGAAACTCAAGGCTAACATGCCACCCATGACTGGTCTTCCCAGACAAGGTGAAGCCTGAGTACTCCATGGTGGATAACATACTTGCTTTCTAATTTGGGGTCTAAGTGAAAGCTCATTGCTTAGCTGGGCATTTTCTATAATATGTGTTTATTTTAGTTCAAGGAAGGGGTTTAAAACAATGATACCTTCACTTATCCCGTGTTTCTGTTTCCTCTATTCAAACATGAATATGTTTTTTCTATTAAAAGGTAAATTGGAAAAAAAAAGTATCTTAAGGTCACCAATTTATATTTAGCAATGTTGAGATTGCAAATATCAAGGCCAAGCAGGGGTGAAGGCTGGTGGATTTGGGGGTCCATACTCAATGGTACTCATGAAGAGATTTGTACGAAATCTGAATTGCAGACATGTGTGAATGCATATATATGTGTTTTGTCCAACAGTTAGATTTACATTGGAAAGACCAAAGAAAGTGAGATTATTCAGCCTTCTCCACGAGGCTGTCAGTAACCACAGGAAATTATATTGCCTGATCAATCTCCAAGGCTAATGTAGCATATGGTCACTTTCTTAAAAAGTTATGTATTCTCCCAAACAAGCTAATGATTGATATACAGGAAAATATGAGAAGAGCAGAATGTCACCCTCCAGACTCCACAGAAATGCAACATTTATCAGTTGACAAAAGGCCATATATTAAGTGCTGACACCATGCTTCTCATTTTGTTTTTATGCCTTATTTTTCTTTTTCCCCAGTTTATTGCAGCCAACGATAAGCTCTGGTTCTGGCTGGAAGTGAATTCTGTAGTAGATTTCTTCACAGTTCCTCCCGTGTTTGTGTCTGTGTACTTAAACAGAAGTTGGCTTGGTAAGTCAGTCTCTTTTGCCTTCTCACTGGCTTAAGGGAGGACAGATTAAGGATATAGGATTTGGGGAGGATCCTTGTGCTGAGCTGTCACTATCGAGTATGACTGTGGATGGTACTCTTAGAATTTTAGAACTGGATGGTGACAGCCCAGAAGGATCTACTGAGTTAGTGCTTTAGACAGTAAGTTTTATTGTTGTTGAAGTACCATGGTCATCACCGTCACAGCTGGGACTTCTGCTGTTCATAATTCTGTCACTTGTCATTCTGCAAGTAAGAGTCAGGGCTGGTGAAAGAAGCCCACGGGAACAAGACCAGCCTTCAGATTGCCAGGTTCTGGTGCCCCAGCAGACCTGCCTGCCAGAGTTGGTTTTGTCTCCTGGTGGGCTCTATTTATAGTTACAAGTTCTGGGATGAGGCAGATCAAGGGGAGACATCTCAAGTCAGTCTGGTATTCCAGGCTGCTTGCCTCCTTCTCTGGGTAGGGGGGATGCTCCTTGTGCTAGGCTCGGCAGGTTACTCCCAGAGTCAAGACTAGGACAGTGGCTCTGCATGGTATCTGCACTCAGCAGTTCTTTCCTGTTGGTGTGTTCAAAAGACAGTGCAATAGAAATTCACTGTCTGCCATTGTTGGTTTCTTGGCTTTGAGCATGCTAAACCTGGCATTTCTAATGATGCAGTTATTATTTTAAAAAATAAATAAATAAAGTAGAAATTGAAAAAAAAAAAACAGACTAGGACAGTGAAATGGTCACAACACCTAACTAGCTCTGAGAATTCTTAGAGTGACAGCTCCATGCTCCACGCTCCTCTTCAATGCTGTGTCTAGTTATTAAGAATATTTCTGCTTCCATGGTGTTGACTGAGGGACAGTCCCAAACAGAACTTAGAAGATTTACTTGAGAATTTTCTGTCTTTACTTTTAGAGGTTTTTTTGTTTGTTTGTTTGTTTTTTTTTTTTTTTTTGCTTCATTTTGTTTTTTGGGGGTGCTTTTGGTGGGGGTTGTTTTCTGTTTTTTATGGTTATAGGGGGCAAGACTTCTTATTTTTCACAAAATAACATGCATATTGTAACCACTGAAGACTTTGAAATACCAACAAAGGAAAATAGCAGGCATCTCTTCTCCCTTTAAGCTTCTTGGATGCCCACCTCCTGGGTGCCTACTGTTAACAAGCTACACACCTCTCTGTAAGCTCATCCTACACTACACACAAGCAAATGGATGTACACTTGTAGTGAGACATTAGAGAGATGCTGATGTTCCTATAGGAAATTCTTTCAAATAACTGTATTTCATTATAATTTAGCTCTTATAGTAGTAACACATGGTAGACATCCCTTCAGTTCTATAAGAAGGGAAATGTAGCCATTTGGATGTAATTTCATCTTCTGCTTATTTTTAGAGTGGCCCTAGCCATAGGATCTAATGGATCACTCATTTACTTTCTTAGTTACTCTGAACAATATTTTCATAAACACCATCATCCATATATTTGTGAAATTCCATTTCTTTAGATATTTCTATATTACCAAAAGAGGAATTGCCAAGTAAAAGAGCATGAATAATTCATTTTGTAGACATTGTTAGATAATGTTCTAAAAATATTGTGTGCATCGTGAAAGGTGCTGGATTTGAAAACAACTGTCACATATTTAAAGCATAAACATGATCTCTAATATTTAGCATATATAGTGGTCACCTACCCACTCTTAGATGCATGTGTGTAAGTGTACCTGTATGTGTAGATATCCTTAATTAAATCCCAACCTCCAGGTGTCTCATTCGAACCATATTCACTTATTGCCAAGTGGACAAGTTCTATTTTGGCTCCAAAATGAGCTTGCTGAGAGTCATTTTCTAGTCAATATGCCATGATCATGAGAGCCACATGCAAATCTGTGTTGTGTCCTGAGTTATGTTCATGAGCTGGGGCTTCCAGCTGTCTTAGCTGAGCTGCTAACTGGCTTTGTGACCTGGGGTCTCTAGTTTCTTCACTTGGTCCCAGGAAGGACATAGACAGAGAGTTCTGCCTTATAGTTATGAGAAGGACAGGAAACTAGGGACTTATGAAACCTGTAAATGTTGCAGTCTGGTGGGAAGCATCAATGTTGAAACTGAAAACAAAGAACACAGGCATGGTGGACTATGAAATCATAATAATAACAACAACTACAATAAAAAGAACCTTCCACTCTTGTAGATGAGTATGCCTTTAATAAAATACTTGTGCTTCTTAGTAACTGCCCTTGGGTGAGATCCCAAACCGTCCTGCCTGTTGTGGAAGAGTCCTTCAGTCTAAAGTGAGCTCCAGGAGGTTCTTCTGTCTGACTTAGCATATAGGTTATTACTCTGTGAAATAAACATTGAACTCATAAGTCACCATAGAATCAAGTGGACGTTCTTGGGAAACAAGCCTATAGAGAAGGGAAAGGACCATTAGGAGAGAGCATTTTGAGTAGCTTTGTCCTAATTCTGCAAAGTGGAGGAACACTGCCTTCACTGGCTAGGTTTTGGGATAAGGTATAAGAAATAAGTCTGTCTACATTCACTTTTGAGGATGGAAAAAGGTGACATTGGTAGTGCCATGTTATTAAAAACCAGAGGTTATGACAGTGCCTGTATCTTTTTCAGTGCACAACCCATACCATGTTGCTATTCTAATCATTGATAAAAGCATGTGTATTGTATGATAAAGCATATATATATATATACATATATATATATATGTATATATATATATATATATGTTGCATATGTCATCTGAAGATACTCAACAGTACAATCAACATAAGAGTACATAAGAGTGGTAGGTATTCAAATGTTTCAGTGTGGGCCCTACTGCCTCTCAGGTCCATCTACTCTATATTCAGAGCACCCAAGGAGATAGGCATTGTTAGTTACTCCATGTTTACAGATCAGGCATCTGATGCTCAGAGGTGCTGACTCTCTTGTCTGGTTTCACACAGCCTGGAAATGTGGGATGAATGATTTACACTAGTTTGACTACTTGATTCTACACTCTTTTTCTGATCTTGGGCTACTGTCCTTTACCTTGGAAGACTGAGATTTGTGAGGACCGAGTTAGAAAAGGCTGTGCCTACTCTGCTACTTGTTGGCATCCCTCCATCTCTACTTACTCATCATGTAACACTTCACTTGAAACAGGAAGGGAGGGGGAGAGATCTTATTTAAGACTATGCATCCCCATATCTCCTGTTTCACACTCCTCCTTGCCCACCTCCAGTTTCTAGAAATGCTACGAGGACCAGAGAAGCATAAAGAACTGGCGTAGTGTCTCCTAAGTTCTAGAGCACTTCAGCTTGTGGGTCTTGCAGGACCAAGGGTCTTCCACACGAACTTCTTCAGCAGAGAAAAATGGCAGAACCCAGCCCTCTGTTCTGCCCCACCTCAACTGGCTTTTCCTTAGTTACTTTGTGCAAGATCACCTTATCTTTCCTCCATCCTTCTTTCTCAGTATTGTCTCCTATAAAAGGATGATAGCAATGTAACCCCATCATAGGGTTACAACAGGGTTTTGGTGTGGCAACGTGCATTATGTACCAAACATGTAGTGCAAGCTTTGCTAGCAGGGCAATAACTATCCCAGCCTCACTCTCTGACCTGCCACCCCCTATTTTTAAAGCATAAAAGGAGTAGATACAGCAGAATGGAACCCCACAAAAAGCAGTAGGATAGGAAGGCATATATGTCTGCAGATGGCAAGGCACTGCTTATTTTAATTCCTGTTCCCACAATATGGGCTCATTCATTGTTTTCTTTACAAAATCCTTCCTCCGACCACTAAAATAAATGCACCCTGAAATGAGAGGTGGATTTTCTTTTGAGACATGAACAACATGTTCTGGAAAACTCATCTGTCTGTTCTTTTAGGAACTACCCCCAAGGGAGGTCAGCTGTTCCCTTTTTGTGTTCATAGATGTTTGCATAGAGGGCCATGTCCTGCGGTTAGAGTATGGGGCAGGAGAAACTTGCACACTGACCAGTTGTCTGATGCACCTTGTATTATCTTAGTGCTGGACCTAAATAAGATCTATGGCCTTGTCTATGCTAGACAAGTGCTTTCTTGGTGAGTCACAGTTATAGCCCTGCTTAACCCATTTTTATTGAGCATCTATTGTGTGCTTAGCACAGGTTATGAGTATCACAGACACAGCCTCCCACTTTGTTAATTGTGTTATGATTCCAAACAGATTTCACCCCAATTGTCTGACTGACAGAATGGAGAACATGTTGACTGGAACCATTAGAGAAAAACTATAACCCTGTTTTATCCATTTTGGTCTAACCTTAGACTTCAACACCGTCAAAAAATTTCATCTGAAAAAAGAATATTCTAGTAAAAAAGTAGAAAAATGAGGTAGTGGCCAGTCATAGGATAAAGAAAAGAATTGAGGATATCTATTTATAAATATATGCCTGAGTATTTTCTTTATGTGATTAAAATCACAAGGAGATTAAAATCAAAATTATGTATAATGTGTATGTGTATAAGTATTGAGAGACAACTGCAATAGAACAAAATATAGTCCCTGTTTGAGAAAAAGTTTCAGTCTTATTTTGGAAACAAGACAATGAAACAGACATGAAATGACAGTAGGTAACACTACCAACTATGTAATTCCCAGGTCCTGCAGAAAACCTGTGGGAGTTCAGAGAATGAGATCTTCACATGTGCCTGTGAGAGTGTGCATGCATGTGTGGGGGAGGGTGCAGAAGGTACTATGCAACTCTGGGCCTCAGCTGAGGCTGCAAATGCAGGGCAGAGGTAGGCAGGGAAGAGGAAGGTGACTCTCGGGGGAAGTGAACACCACTATGAGAGGAAGCATGTGCTCATGGAAGATAGTGTCATCACTATGAAGGTCTCTTTCTTGGGCCTAGTTCAGCTTCACAACCCTAGGAGATGCCTGTAGTTGTTCACTCCTGACACAGAAATTCATCACCACAGTGCAGAATCTAAAGACAACCTCTGTGCATTATCTC